AGGAATGGCTCATTCTGTTGTCTGCTGAATATGCCGATCTTAGTTGCGATAGCTCAGAGGAGTATGAAATGCCCTAATGCCCTTGCTTGTATGTGTGTGGCCCTCCGGGATGGGAGCAGCAGAGGCTGCCCTTTACCTCAGGGCTGGTGCAGTTGTCAGCAGTTAATTGCCTTTATTCTTGGGACCTCAGCATATGTTTTTTAGCATGGATGCCTTCAGCGGCGGGGGCGGAGGGGGAGCGTGGCACAGCGGAGAAGAAGTTTGCATGGTTGGGGTTGAGGAATACTGGTTGCAAAACTGGGTGTGAATCATCTGAGAAGGAGAGTGAGCCTCAGCAACACACTGGGCTCTGTCCTTGAGTATCTGTAGGAGATGGTGGCTATTCTGCCTCTGGCAGCCAGGCCTCCTCCCTTGCTGCATGTATTCTGGCAGGAAATGACAAAGGGAGAAAAGGCCTGTGTGGCCAAAACTCACACCAGAATGTTGGCAAGTTGGCAATGGGCGAGTACATAGATTGCCTGTGCCAGAATTGGGAGGGAGAAGAGTAAACCAGTGCCTGAGGCTTTATGGAGGAACATCAGAGCAATGCTGATGGCCACCAGCCGCTGAAGTTAACAGCACCAGCCTGATTATTTCTCATTGTTACTTGGAGCATGTACACGCAAGCACACAGAAATTCTTTCAAGGATGTTGGGGAGGAGAGTCTGATCTCAACACAAAGCAGCTACACCATTTCTGCTAGGGCTGTTCCTCTGGAGGGAGCTGTGTGATGCACAGGCTTGTGGGGAGGAATGCGGTCCTTTTGCACCTCCCTTTCTCTTCTGAAGAAGATAAATGGCAGGGAAGTGGATACTGTTACCCCATGTGGCACTGGTGTGTGGTGTGCTTCCACTCGGAGTCCTCTCCTGGGTGGAGGCTCAGTGCTCTTGGGCACTAATTCTGAATAACCGTGGTCACATCATGAATGTGCAACGTGTGTGGTTTCCTCACCTCCAAAATAACTGGTGATCTTTTCTTGCTCTACCTTAAAGGCCACTCCAGAAAGCTCATAGGGTTTAATGTATGACCTTGCCCATCTTTCTCTCACACCTCGAGGTGTTGGGTGTTTCAGAGCTGCAGAAACAACCTGGGGCCAAAATTCTGATGTATCCAAAGTGTCCAAGTGGTGCCATGTGCAGAGTACAAAGCATTTCTTGTTCTGGTTTGGGAGTTACATACTCTAGAGCTATTCTGCAGAGGCTGGGTTTGGAGGACATGTAGGAGGAAAGGAGAGGGAAATTCTGCTTGGAGTGATGTCCCATGCCAAGGGGACTGTGGCTCAAAGCTGGAGGACAACGTGTGACACCCTTGGTCTGGGTTGTATGGCAGCTTTCCCTTCTCTCTGAGACATAGTGCCTTGCAGTGGGCAGAAGGTGACTTGTGCTTGCCGCGGCCCCGGGAGTTTGCTCTGGAGCTGAAATGGCTGCTGTTAAGGAAGCGTACAGTTGGTGTGTTTGTGAAATCTGCTGAAGTGTGGAGTGTGAACTGTGGGTTGAGTTGCCTTCTGTGGCCTGGAGACAGCTTGACATGGTAGTTGGGGCAGCACTGGATTACCTCTGTATAATCTTGCTGGGATGTTAAGAGTGACCTCAATAGCACTTCAGTGTTGCTGCCAGGTGATTTAGAGGAATCACTTTTTTAGCTTGCTATTTCCCTTGCCCTAATAACTTCTGAGCCTTTCTCAAGTGTCAGCTGAAATCTCCAACGACCTCTTCCATGCTCTGAAAACTTTCAGTTCCTTCAGGAGGTTGTATTTTCACATTTAAAAAAAGAAAAAAAAGCATATGGAAAAACTGAGAACAGAACTGTTAAATCCTGTACAACGTTAACCATCGGGATTGTTTGCTGCAGTATTGATTTCTCCATTTGATCGATTAAAGCTTTATTTTGTAATGTGAGTTACTGACTCAGCCCCAGCCCGCTCTCTTTGTTATGCACAGGGTGCGCAGTCGGGTTACCCCAGGATATATTGGATCAAGGATATGAGCTCCCACACAGGAGTTAGTGCGTTAAGTGTTTGCCAGACACAGCACAGTTCATATGAGACTGTGGCTTAAAATTCTTCTTGTTTGCTGCTTCCCCATGTTATCGAGATGGATTTGTACATTTTTGTTGTTTTCTCCCCCCACAGCTGCTTACAAAGAAATTCCAGCTGTTCAGGAAGAAGCTGCTTCTGAATATAAGGTACTTGAAAAAATCAATGTGCTAGTGCAGCCGTGGCTCCGAAAAGGAAAAGCAGAGACTGGCAGCTCCCTGTGTGCTCCCCCTTCCAAGGCCTGCACGCACGTTTCACGCTTGGCTCCGCAGCTAGGCCGCCTCGGGCACCTATGTGTTACTCGTCCTTGTGCCTGAGGGCTTGCACGGACGTGGGCTGCCACGCTGGGGTTTCCATGCATGATGGCTTTCGCTGGCTAGACTGCGATTCTGCACGCATGCGCGCACAAAAATGTAATTGGGATTACAGAGGATCAAAACTAGATCGGGAACCGGGAAGGTCAGACGCTTGGGGAAAAATAGGAGCGTAGCCATGGTGTGTGCATGAGCTGTGTGATCATCAGTGCACTGTATTTATCGCTCTTGAGTAGCGTATCGAGCTCAAGGCTGTACCCTGTACAGCCCCACTGCTGCTTCCAGCCTTATGTTCCAGAAATGAAAAGGGGAAAAGGTTACTGGGAGAATGACAAGAACTTTTGGAGACTAATGGAGCTGAACAGCTGGGGTTGTCTGGGAAAGACGGCTTTGAAGAGGGGATTGCAAACTGCTTTCGGTGGGTAATCAAAAAGTGCAATTCAATATATTTAACACTCACCAGGACCAGGAAGAGAAGGAGGCTGGATTTTAGCAGGAGCAGTGGAGGACAGGTGTTAAGCACCTTTCACTAGGAGTAGTGAGGCTCAGGCAGGGCTTGTGCTTGGCAGGTAAAGCCCAGGTTAGAGAATCCTCTCTGGGGAGTGCTGTGAGTAGGGGCGAGCTCTTGTTGGAGCTGTGCTGGGAACACGGTGACGCTTTGCTGTCTCGGTGCTTGCAGATGAGTCCACTGCTTTGGCACCTGTTTAGGGTTCAGGTTAACTAACTCCTGGGGTGACGCCTCCGGGGGAGTACTGGAGCAGACCCTCTGCTGACAGCGGGGTGGTCCCGGCAGAGGTGCAGCCGAGAGGAAGGGCAGGGAAGAGGCCGAGATATGAAAGCGCCAGGCAGGAGCCTGGTTCCTCCTCCCCACGCCGAGCCTCCCCGTAGCCCCGGGGCCGCCAAGCCCGGCCCGGCCTGGCCGGGGCGATCGAC